TCTCTGCCTGATCAAATTTAAAAATAATAATAACAATTGGAATTAAATAAATAAATAAATAATTCCTTTTTCAAAAAGGAGATATTCAATCCATGTTTGGGGAATTATGTACTGAGTTTAACATTTATGTATTTAACTTTAATATAAAATTGAATTTTCAAAAGTGACTAAATAGAGGAGAGGAACTCGGGAGATGAATTTAAAGTGAATTTAGGTATCGTGTAAGTTGGAAGGGAGAATCCTAATGGAAAATAAAGCTGGGAAGTGGGATAGAATCAGACTTGAGCAAGCTCTGGAGGCATGCCAATAACTAGAATATCATTTTGTAGCCAATGAGGAAAACAAAGGTTTTATTAACTATGAAAGATCATTTTCATTTAGTTCTTAGAAAAAAAATTCTTATAAAGCCCAGTGTATATACACAAATGGATTTCCATTTTGAACAACAGAAAATCTGACCTTTTTTAATTTAAGAAGGGAATTCAATTGTGTGTAAAACTGAGAAATCTGGACATGGATGGGCTTCAGGCACAATTTGATCAAGAACCCAACTTCGTTTCTCTGGCTTTGTCCTCCTCCATGTATAGATGTCATCCTCAAACTGGTTTCTTTCATGGTGCAAGATTACTGCCAGCTGAAACCAGAGCTATTTGATTCTTTCTCCAACTGTTATTAAATACGCTACCAGAGCTATTTGATTCTTTCTCCAACTGTTATTAAATACCCTACATTTCACTCTTATTTGACCAATATAGTTGTTATTCCCTAATTTTGGGAAGAAATTAATGTTGCCAGAGAAGTAGAATTAAAGGATAGGCTTCAGCCAATTTAGGCCACCACCATAGCCAAAATCAGTACCCACACTGTATGGCTACTGTGTGATAGAAGAAATTTGAAGAGGTAATTCAGAGTGTTTACGCAATATAGGAGGATAAATATTTACAGGCATGGAAAAAAATTATGACAAAGAAGAACAGCAAGGAAGAAGAAAAAAAAGAATAGCAAAGAAGGATTTGCCTTACTTTATGAAAATTATCAAAATACAATGGTACTGGGGGTGGCAGGTGGCATGGTGGTTAAGAGCACTGGATTCCCACATGGCCGACCATGATTCGAGGCCTGGACCTGGTGGGTTACTTTCTCACTTTCCATCTCTCTCGCTCGGTCCCTCTCTGTTCAAATTGAAATATATATATCGGGGTGTGGGAGGAGAAGAAGTGAGCCTTTTTTTCTTTTCTGGAGAGGTTTTTTGCTATAGGATGTGTGCGCTTGCCAGAAAGACAGAGAGAGAGAGAGACAGAGACCGAAAACGAGAAATCACTCCCCAGGGGGGATGTCCACGCCATAATCCCTTCTCCTTCATTCTCCTCTCAGGATCTTGGGCACGCACACACACGTGCCCAGTGTGAGTTTAAGCCACTGAGTCCAGGATTGGAACCGTGGTCGACTATATGGGAATCCAGCGACATAGCCATTACATCATCTGCTGGTCCCAAGCCATTTTTTAAAAAGAGAATGAGAAATAGTTGACCTTAAAATTTTTTGAACTATTTTAATGTCAAAAAATATCAAAACCAAAGTCAAAAGAAAAGTAATAAACTGAAAAACTTATTAGCCTTATAAGCAGAAAAGAGAACATTATCCCTAATATATAAAGACCTCCTAAAAATTATTCAATAGAAACATTGTCAGAGAAATGGAAAGAAATCATCAAATCGGCGATTGAAAAATCTTTAAAAATAATGATAGCAATCAGTCTTGGTGGGGTGCAGAGACACTGATGTTTTCACATTGCTGGCAGTGGTGTAAATTGTTATGACCAATTTGGAAAGATACCTGGGAATATTTATAAACACTAAAAATACTTATCTTTTGGGTCAGCCTTGCAGTGCTTAAGTACTGTACAGAAGAAACCAAATCCCACATGGCCAACCATGGTTCAAGCCCCAGTCCCGGCAGCCTGTAAAACACCCTGGGTGTGTGCATGCATGCCCAGGATCCCGACAGGTTAGAGAGGTGGAGGAAAGAGGGTTGCAGCATGACTAGGGCATTTCAGGGGTTGCTTTCTTTCTCTCCCTCCCTCTTTCTCCCTCTCTCTCCCTTAGTCTTTCCCTCTTGCATATGCATGTACCCTCTGGTGTGTATGCATATCTTTTAAATCAGAAATCTCTCATCTAGGAATTTCCAGTACAGCCCTTCAGCCTGCCAGGATCACGGGCACACCCGCAGGCACCAAACATGTATAATTTGACTAGGAAACCAAAGCCTGGTCCTCTGTATCACTTCCAGAATTGCAGAACATTGCCTTACCTCTGTCCAATGGGGTTAGGCTGTCTTAGCTAGAACTTTGAAAGGCTGAATAAGAATTACCTACATTCCTGAAGACCAGCAGATAGTGTAGTGGTTACGTTGCTGGACTCCCACTTGGTCAACTGCAGTTCGAGTCTAGGTCCTGGTGGCTTAAAACACACTGGGCACGTGTGCGTGCCTGCCCAAGATCCTGGGAGGAGAATGGAGGAGAAGGGATTGCGATGTGGTTCTCCCCCGTGGGGTATGATTTCTCACTTTCCCTGGCTCCCTGTCCCTCCAGTGAGCACAGTTCCACTAAGGCAAAAACCTCTTTGAAAAAGAAGAATTACCTACATTCTTCATAAACAGTCATTTGTGACCAAAACAATATTATATCATAAAGTGATGGCTCTGTAGCTCGCTGACTTACAGGTATTTGTTTAATCAACTAAGTAACGGATGCCTTCAATAAACTTAATGCATGTTGGCAAAAGGTTCACAGACAACGACCAAAACTGCACTCTTTTGTCTTTTTCTGTTGTAGCAAACAACAATCCTTAGTTAGTTAAAATAAGGAGAATGGAGTTCCAGTGACTGTCAGAGCATGAAGTCTGGTCTTCACTGGAGGCTCTCCCTCTGAGCATGAGTCCCAGATCACTTTGCGTCTCTGCTCTCCCATGGAAGGAGGAGAGGGAGTGATAATACTCAGCACTCCAGAGGCTACAGGGAAGTACTTGGGGATTCCCAGGCCACCACTGGCAAATACATAACATGGAAACCGTCACCAAGGTAATCACATCACCCTTGGCCTCATGTCGGCCTCCAAAGGAAGACACCATTGCAGTTGCCAGTACCTTGTTTTGGAAATTCTTCTTCCTTAGCACTCCAAACCACTGCAATACTTTCACACCAGGCATGCTGGGGGGAGGGCTGCTCACCCCGTGGAGCAGTCCGAATACCTGGTCCTTGCTCTATGGTGTTTTGGAGACTTTTCAAAACAATTTTCTCACTGAAAGAGACCATCTAATCTAAGTCTTTTAGAGATGAGGAAACCACGGTGGACAGCTATTTAACGGAGAGTTAAACCAGCATTTAGACCCCTAGTTCTATTAAACCAGCATCCTTACTTTGAACTTTGGAAAGCTTACATTATCATTTATTCGGGAAGAGGATTTCTTTTATTATTTTTTTCTAGAGATTTTTGCTATAGCACACATGTGCTCGCCAGAGAGACAGAGATAGGCAGAAAGTGAGAAATTACTCCCCCAAGAGGGATGGCCACACCACAATCCCTTCTCCTTCATTCTTCTCTCAGGATTTTAGGCATGCATGCATGCACACATGCCCAGCATGAATTTCAAGCTGCCAGGTCTAAGACTTGAACTGTGATCAATTATGTGGGAGTTCAGTGCCTTAACTACTATGTCACCTGCTGGTCTGAGGAAGAGGTCTTCTTTTTTTTTTTTTTTTTGGAGAGGTTTTTGCTATAGGGCGCGTGTGCTCGCCAGACAGACAGAGAGAGACAGAGAGATAGAAAGCGAGAAATCACCCCCCAGGGGAAATGGCCACGCCACAATCCCTTCTCCTCCATTCTCCTCTCGGGATCTTGGGCACACACACACACGCACAGGCGACCGGCGTGAGTTTAAGCCACCGGGTCTGGGACGCGAACCATGGTCGGCTACGTGGGAGTCCAGCGACATAGTCATTACACTAACTGCTGGTCCCAAAGTGGCCTTCTTGATGCAGATCACTTACTTGTGATTCACGGAAGATGGTAGGACGACAGCTCCTTGGAGGTTGTAAGGCATGCTGTGGAATGCTCTGGTTGTTTAGCTATACACCAGCCCAGCTGGACTCATGGGTGTAATCAGAAAACGGCCTTATTGCCTTTGACCATGCCTTTCAAGTCTGCTCTGTGGGGCTAGCTGTTTGCCTTCCCACGAATAAATGCCTATGACTGGGTCATTCTCAAATATTAAAAAGGTCTCTGCTTACTTCTGACAAAAAATAGTCTTATTTCAGTAATTAGCATTTCTTTTTTAAAAATGTATTTTATTTATTTTAATTTGACCAGAGAGGGACAGAGAGAGGGCAAGAGAGAGAAAGAGAAAGTGAGAAAGCAAGCTGCCAGGTCCGGGACTCAAACCATGGTTGGCCATGTGGGAGTCCAGTGCCTTTAACCACCACGTCACTTGCTGGCCCCAATTTCAGTAATTAACATTTCTGGTCCAGTGTAATAATAAAAAAAGAGAACTCCACACTTCGGTGGGAGAGGGGAGTGAAGGTAAGCTTCCTGTGTATTTCTTCCGGCCTGGCACTTCTTCCCTGGTTCTCCCCTCAGCGGGTTCCCCAGCTTCTCCAGGAAGAGAAAGCTAAGGAGGAGAAGTTTGGGTTGCTCCAGAGACCCTGGCTTCCTGTGCTTGTGGCGGAGGTTTCGCTCCTGGGTGCTCTCATGGGTTTCCTGGATTCACTTTCACATTCCCCACCTTGCTGGGGAATCCCTCAGCACCGATTCATTCCCTTGGCACAGACAAATTCATTTTGCCTCCAGAAGTCTGCTTTAGCTTCCTCTCCCCCCAGGCCCTGGGAATTTGGAGGCAAATGTCTGGCCTTGTCCTTACCTTTTCAAGCAATCTTGCAGGGTAGGATCAAAGTTAATCCCACACTGTGACTCTCTGAGACTTGTCTTCTGTGGGAGTAAATTACTTCCCCCACTCCACTCCCTACCTGATGTACAGGTTACTCTTGCCATCTCAAAACGCTAGCTTTCTCAGGCTGGAGTGGAGACACCAGTCCTTTGTGCTTTTAAACTGCAGGGGACACACACTCAGCTCTTCAAGAGGTCTGCCTGAATTCCCTCTCACCAGACTTAAGGTGAGCAGAAGCCCCTTCACCCTCTCCCTGGGGGATGCTAAGGAGGGGCATCTCAGAACACCTGGGACTTCTACAGAAACTCTTCACTAACCCATGACAATCTGGTCATCCACAGCTTTGACCCTTCTATACGAAGGTAAGTGAGAGGTTCAGGGAACACTCCTTTGCAAATCTTGCGCGGTGGTCTCCACCTTGTTTGGAGTGTGAAAAGGATCGACCACTTTTTCCTGGGATCTCTGTCACAATGGGAATAAAATAATAGCTCCACTTAATACCTTGTTACCAATTGCATTTTCGTTCTCTTTCCAGTTGTCCCCACAAAGGTGCCTCTGACAAGTAGATTTTGGTAAACATCAAATGCTCGTTCCAATGAACTTCGTATGGTTTTGTCATTCATCAGGGATAACGGGAGTTACCGGTTGTTGGATAAAGGTTGACAGTGACTTTGTAACACACGGTTTTGTTTTGTTTTGAGATTTTCGCCATAGGGTACATACGCTTGCCCAAGAGGAGAAATACAGAGAGAGGGAAAGTGAGAAATCCCCTTCCAGGGGGATGGCCATGGTGCAATCCCTTCTCTTCCATGTTGCTCTCAGGATTTGGGACATGCATGTACATGCACCCGGTCTGGAACTCACATGGAACCTGGTGGTTGACCATGTGGGAATTTAGCCTCCTTAACCACCATGCCCCCTGCTGCCCCCCCCTTTGTTTTACTGTAACAGGATTCAATGCAATTTGACAAGATTTCCAGAATCCCTAGGAATGTTATGAACTGTGCTTTCAATTCTGTTTTTTCAAATGAATAGGAGAAGTGATTTGAGTAATAAGCAAACGAATTGGCTGCCTAAGAGAAAGGAAATGAGCAAGGGCATAGAATTTCTTGGGAATCCTAGTGGTCTGTAGTTAACCAAGTTACTTACATCTGAAAATCCACCACCCCTACTCAGAAGGTCGGAAATTCATACTGCCCGCCAGCATTTGGGCAGCAGACACAAAGAGCAGCGTGTATCGACCTCAGGAGGGCTCACCGTGGCCCCATAGAATGACAGTGTCCCTGTGGGTGGGTCTCTACTCCACCTGGTTTGTGCTTGGCATCTATGTCAGGGCATGAAGCCTGCTTCTTTCATGTTTGGTCTCTAACTCTGTGCTTGGCCCTTTCTTCATAGCCTAAAGCATTTTGCAACATTGTCAACAGATCATGTAAAAGTACAAGATGAATCTTTATACACATGCTTTTATTTATTTACTTATTTTAGAGAGATTTTCGCTATGGGGCCTATGCATTCACCAGAGAGACAGAGAAAAGGAAAGTGAGAAGTCACTTCCCATGGGGGGAATGGCCAGACTGCAATCTCTTCTCCTCTTCTCCTCTTAGGGTTTGGGGCACGCATGTACATGCACCCAGAGTGAGTTTTAAGCCTCCAGGGCCAGGACTCGAACCATGGTCAACCTTGTGGGAGTCCAGCACCATAATCACTACATCATCTGCATATGCTGGCCCTGAATATATGTTTTTAAAAAGACACTAGTCTTAGAATAAGATTTTGGTCATATTCCATATATGATTTAAACATCTAAGGTCCTGTCAAGTGCATGGTGCACCACACATGTTAACGGAAGAGATAGCTAGACTAATAAAAGATAAATAAAACAGACAAGCTTATGGTTTGTCGTCAGTCCTCTGGAAGCTTCACTAGAATGCTGATGACATTCACGGAGTCTGCTTCTAGCAACCAACACTCCTTCGTGGACAGTATTTTAACATACGATCCCAGCTGTCAATATTGCTGTCGGGAATGCAATTCATTTCACTCTTATTTGGATGGACATCTTGGAGATGAAGGTGGCAGTGATTCAGTGCAGCTGACAAATGGCACTGAGCCTGCTATCCTCAGCAACTCAAGTTGTTTCCTGAGGAAAAGCAGGCCTGGCTCTGAGTGGAACTGAAAATGTACAGATACGTGAAACACGGTGTGAGCGTTCTCAAGCCTTCCATAGAAAAGGGAAAACTGAAACCAGCATTTGGCGTAATGGCTATGTCGCTAGACTCCCATGCAGTCAACCGCGGTTCAAGTACTGGACCTGGTGGCTTAAACTCACACCGGGCGCGTGTGCATGCGTGCCCAAGATCCCGAGAGGAGAATGGAGGAGAAGGGATTGCAGCGTGGCCATCCCCCCTGGGGGGGGTGATTTCTCGCTTTCTGTCTCTCTTCTGTCTTCCTGGTGAGCACATGCACCCTATGGCAAAATCCTCTCCAAAAAAAGAAAAAAGAAGGGAAAAGTAAGGGCATTGTACAAATGGGACTCTATTTGCAGGAAGGCAGTGACATGGCATGGCCATATCAGAGTCACCTGTGGTTCTCTGTCAAAACACACATGCCCTGCCCCTCCCCCTAGCCAGGCTCTGATTTGGGCAGGGGGTTGCAATGAACCCAGGCCTGTCTGTGTCCTTAAGGACCCCACTGGAGATTCAGAAGTTCAGAGTAGAGAGGAACCATTCATTCTTTGGATGGATCTAGAAGTTTTAAAAGAATGAATTGGAAGGAGGCCTAGCTAGAAGGATTGTTCAACCATGCAGAGAGAGAAATAAATGCCCAGGATACAGAGAGGAGGATGTCATCAGAGCTGGGGTTCATGAACCCACCTCAAGTAATTTTTTTTTTTTTTGGAGAGGTTTTTGCTATAGGGCGTGTACGCGCGCCAGGAAGACAGAGAGAGACAGAGAGATAGAAAGCGAGAAATCATCCCCCAGTGTGCAATCCCTTCTCCTCCATTCTCCTCTCAGTATCTTGGGCAGGCAAGCACACGTGCCCAGCGTGAGTTTAAGCCACCGGGTCCAGGACTTGAACCGCAGTCGACTACATGGGAGTCCAGCGACATAGCCATTAGGATAACTGCTGGTCCCCCTCAAGTAATTTTTAACTTTGGGGGAGTCATCGACTACTTTGAGAGTCTGACAAAACAGTAGTTACTCTCCTGAAAAAATACACATAGGCTAACCCCGGTACAAGTCAGTGTATACTGGGAACCAGCAGTTAGCGTCATGGCTATGTCGCTGGATTCCCACGTAGTCGACCGCAGTTTGTGTCCCGGACCCGGTGGCTTAAACTCACGCCGGGCGCATGTGCGTGCATGCCCAAGATCCCTAGAGGAGAATGGAGGAGAAGGGATTGCGGCGTGGCCATCCCCCCTGGGGGGTGATTTCTCGCTTTCTGTCTCTATGTCTCTTTCTGTCTGTCTGGCGAGAGCATGCGCCCTATAGCGAAAACCTCTCCAAAAAAAAAAAAAAAAATGGACAAGTCAGTGTATACTGTACTTCAGGGAGTCTAGACTAGGATTAAGTTTTTGTTTTTGCTGTCTTCTCCGCGTGGGTAACAGTCCCATTCCTTAAGGTAAGGAAAACAGGAGAAGGTCAGATCCTTGACCTCAAGACAGTTTAGGAGCCGAGATAAACCTTAACAATAAATCAATATACTCATACCTAGACAACCACTGCAGGGTTGTAGGGGAAGGGAGAGTTCCGGAAAAGAATGTTCTGAGAATTAGAACAGTTTGAGCTGGATTAGATTCTTAGAGACATGGCCTTATAGAGGCAACGGTTTAAAGGAGACAGGTGTGATAACAGAAGCCCCCCCCCCCACAACCACACAAGCCCCCCCCACACACACACACACACCAAGACACACACACTCCCCAAATTGGGGTCTGAGTGACTAAAGCGCGTTAATAAAGGAGGGCCTCCAGAGGGACCCCAGTGAGACTACGACTTGAACATCGAGTGACAATAATGGCATGGGCCCACACTGCCACTGGAGGTCACCCGCACGGTGCCCCCGGTAGCTGGGATCTGGGCTGGGGTAAGTACTGAAATGCCGCTGAATGCAGTTTATGACGGTCTGGGACGAGACACTGGAGGAAGAGAGCACGCTGGGGCGGGAGGGCGGCCTTGGCGTCCGCTGTTCCTCGCCAGGGTCACAAGTTGGCCCCGCGTTTGTCCAACGCCGCGAAAGAAAACCGCGGGAGAGCGCTGCGCGGCGGCCACGTCCATCCCGCCGGTGACATGAAAACGAATCGGAGCCGCTCTCTGCAACCCCCCGAGGTGCGTGGACAGAAGGCAACCAGCCAGAAGGTTACGACAGGTCGGGAATAAATAACCAGGCGGAGGATCCCACATTCCGTCCTTCCTTTTGTTGGGTAAGGAGTGCCCAACAAACGCGTCCACAAAGGCTTGGGAAGGAAGCGGCTCGATCGCCCACACCCGGCTCGGGCCCGGGTGACCCTGCGGGGCCTCGGGGTGAAATAAGCCGGAGACCAAAGCGGCTCAGCTCCCGGCGGGAGGCCGCGGAGCC